ACCGCTCAGTCATGAGGCTCAGGTTAAAAATCCTGACGCTCAAACAGAACGTGTCTCACATCAGAACTGGTTTGTCACGATAGATCTAAAGGACACATACTTTCATATTTACATCCTTCCTCAACACAGGAAGTTCTTGAGGTTTGTTTTCGGGGGCGAAGCATACCAACATCGATTTCTTCCTTTCGGCCTAGCACTCTCACCTCACACTTTCACCAAGTGCATGAATGCTGCTCTGGCTCCTATGCGACTCAAAGGCATCCGCATACTCAATTATATCGACGATTGGTTGATATTAGCTTATTCGGAGCAGATGGTGGTTCTGCATTGAGATGTCATCCTCGCCCATATGAGAGCTGGGGTTAAGGCTGAACACCAAGAAAAGTGTGCTTTCTCCAGTACAGAGAACCACTCACCTGGGCATGGTGTGGGATTCGACCATGAAACAGGCACATCTGTCTCCTGCTCGGATCGAGTCGATCTTCACAGCTGTGAAGAGGGTAAAGCTAGGTCCAGTCACTCACTGTGAAACAGTTTCAGAGACTGTTGGGTCTGATGGCAGCTGCATCCAACGTGATACCTTTTGGCCTGCTGTACATGAGACCCTTGCAGTGATGGCTCAGAATCGAGGGGTTTTCCCCGAGGGGCAACCCACTTCGCATGATCAAGGTCACGTGGCGATGCTTATGTGCCTTAGACATGTGGAGGAAACCTTGGTTTCTATCTCAAGGCCCGGTGTTGGTGGGTTCTTGGCAGTGGTGTAGTCGGGGCCATACGCAAGTATACGCCGTATGCTTACTTTTTTCCCCGGGATGTTTGCGTATTACGACTTCTAAGGATCAATATTCGCGTATACCCTCGGTATACCCACTTGTTTTGTTGCTTCGCAAGTCCGTAATCTACTGTCATGTAGCTTCCCCTTTAATGGTGTCCCATACTGCTGTGTGAAATTCGTGATTCTTTGTAATTGGTGCAATATCACTTCTGTCATTCAACGCCCAATATGATGGTGCGGCCACGACGTGAAACAATTACTTTTGAATATTTTTACTAACACCCCGACCCGAGCCTCCGTTACATAAAATATAGATCTAACAGAGGAATGAGCCGTATGCAGTTACTGAAGGGAGAGAGAGAGCAGAAGAGAGCGCGTGAATGTGAATTACTCGCATATGACCGGCTTTCCCAACTATTTTATTGATAAAGTCTTTGTGTGTAAGAGAGAGAACACGCTGTCCAACAATTAATGCCACGGATCCCCAAATATAATCCCTTAGTCACTATAGTTTTGTCTGTTAATTTAGCTGAGTATTAAACTGCTAGCAATTGTTAGGCTATCAGGAGCACCCCATTATTATCATGTCAGAATACTGTATGCTGAAGGACATCATACTGTAAAGTTACATTAATACATTTAGCAGACAGATATTCGCATGGATTTATAGTTTAGGTAAGGAGGGAGAGCAGACAGCAAAACAAAAATATGAGTCAATTCAATAGTGTGTTCAGTAGGCTATTAGGATTTTTCAATTAAGGTATTGCACTAATTTTTATAAATAGGCACTTAAACACAATTTTTTTATATATATATTTGTATGAAAAATAGGTTTGTTACATCTTGGGTATTTAAGTCATTTTAAGATAAATAACATTCTGTGCAAACAAATTAAAATGAGGTGGTTGTTTTGCAACTAGATGGACACAGTTCTGTTCATAACGGTAGACCTGCTGGTGAAGAAGTGACAGGTACAAGAAAAACACACACATATACACAAGGGATGGACAGAGATATTGGGGGAAATGAAGAAACGGAAAATGGAAGTGAAGGTGCAGTTCAAGAATGGGGTAATATTGCTGGGTAATAGTAAACCACTTTTTTCTTTAGGACTACACCACTGGTTCTTGGTGCGGCAACCATCAGCTGGACCCAGTCAACTGCCCAGTTGGTTCAGTGCTGCAGTTCCTGCAGGAACGTTTTTTCGCAGGGTTAGCCCCCTCCACCCTGTAGGTGTACGTGGGGGCCATAACTGCTTACCATGCCCCTCTGGATGGTCAGTCATTGGGAAGAAACCCATTGGTTACACGTTTTCCTCCGTGGTGCTGTAGGGTATCAGACCGAATCAGACAATCTAAGATTTGGTCAAAACATGGTTGAAACATGAGGAGCCAAATT